AAAGACATCAATTAGTTGCCTCCTGTTTGCGCCCTGACTGGGGCTGGGGATCGAACCTGTAACCCTTTGGTGCACAGGCCAAGGCTCTAACCACTGAGCCAAACCAGCCAGTGCAAATGGACTTGCCATATTGAATACAGATTCCACTGTGTGACTTAAGTAAATTCCAAGTAAGTTACAAGCATTTACACTAGAAATTATTCCAATATGTTGCTCACATTTCCGTCTTCTTGCCCAGACAACACTTAGAGTATCTTGCCCCTGGAGGGCCTGGCTGGGGGCACATTTGGGAGCATCACACTCTGTGCTGGGCTGACACGGTGCTGCTCCTCGCCCTGTTGCTGCCCAGCTGGGGTCTTTGCAGGTTAACTTTCTGTTTCTCTCTTTTATATATTTGTGACCTCCTTCAATGGCCGTTGCCTGCTGCTGTCAGAGACCCATCTCCAGCTGTGCCCCACTCTTCCTCCTTTTCTGTGCTAGGAACCTAAGCAGTATCGACAGCACACAGCAGCTGAGCGCACAACGGGGCTCTTGTAAGAATCAGGACCTCACTTTCTGGGCTACTCAGATTTTAAGTTCAATTCTAGGTCCCTAGCTGGGCTGTAGGTGGATGAGGGAGCCAAATGAGGTGACAAGCATTTGCATTTTAAAGATGTCCCAAAGCTTGATGGTCACTGGTTTAGCTTCCTTGCTTTCTCACTGGGCTGGTGGACAGAGGTCTCTTTTACCGCTCCCTTCCAGATGGAGGCACCTACCTGGGCATTAAAACTCCATTCCATGTTTTCTTCCCTCCCAGACAGCAGCTGCACCGTTCCACAAGGTCACTCTGAGTCACCATGCCCCAGCATGCAGTAGAGCACTACCTGTACCGATTGCTCCTTAGTTCCTCGAGTCCCTGCAAAGCCTTCCTGACTTGCTGCTTGGTACCATTTTCCTATGCCATTCAGTGTGCTCCACTCTGATGCTATCAGTGCCATGCCAGTCTCTGTGCAACTTACTCATGTTAGAGCTAGTAACTTTTCTGTCACCCCACGGCGCTGGCTGACTGCTGCCCGGTGACCTGGATCAGCAGGCACAATGAGGCCGACTTCAGCGGGGAGTGCTGACGGCGCAGCAGGACCTGTGGAATTGTTGGTTTGCAGTCTGGGACCAATTTTAATGGGAATTTTCGCACCATAAGGGTTCCCGCACCATGGGGACAGAGTAGATATCCCATTGTACATTTACACGTGGCATAGGCCTTCAGTTTGATATCTTGTGGATGCCTATTTTTTCCCATTCGAAGGCCCTGGTAAAGCCTGGCATTCTCCCTGGACTGTAGGGGAGAGGTCCCCCTTTCACCCCCTTCTCTCTGGAGGCTCCTATGTGGGTGCTAACACCCCAGCCACGAGCTTCTTCCTGGATCTGACACATGACACACACACACACCCCCAGTCACCAGAGCATGGCTTTCAGCCCTTCTTTATTTCTTGGCCCCAGATAGCTCCCTTCCTCCCTTCCTTTTTTTTTTTAATATCTCTTTATTGATTTCAGAGAGAGGAAAGGAGAGGGAGAGAAAGAGAGACAGGAACATCAATGATGAGAGAGAAACATCTATCAGCTGCCTCCTGCACGCCTCCTACTGGGGACTGAGCCTGCAACCTGGGCATGTGCCCTGCCCGGGAATCGAACCAGCAGCCTTTCGGGGCACAGATCAACACCCAACCAGAGTCACAACGGCCAAGGCATCCCTTCCTAATCTGCTTGGTGTGGCAGGTGCCTACCTTTTGGCTCCGCCCGCGTCGGGGGAAACAATGATACAATTCTTCCAATCTGTGATGTTCTCCCGAATCCACTGCAGGACCGCCGGCTCTGCGTACAAATTATCCACAGGAATGTCGAAGAACCCCTGCGGGGAGAAGTCAGTGTCATGCTGCATGCCTTTTGAAAAGATGATCTTTCGTTAAAAAAAATTTGACTTTTTTATCCAAAGGAAGCCTTTTCAACAGACTCCTTTTTCTTAATTTTAACAGAATTAAATAAAAAGACACATATGTTCTAGGAGCATATTTCAGTTCCATCTGTTATCTGTGGGGACACATTCTATTACCTTATGATCACCTATATTCTAAGGAATACAGAATGGGTACAGAGCAGTGGGGAAGATTTGTTGCTTCTTATGATAAGCCCAAAATACCTCACATTCACTGTACCACAGAGTAGGCACAGGATAATTGGGCCTGTTTGCTAGATGAAGGAACTAAGTTACGAAGAGGTTAAGACATTACGACTCTGCCATTCTAATTATTTTACCAAAGTTGCAATGGCATTATAGCATTTACTACTAGGAAGATATTCCCACTCCTCCAAAACTGACTGGACACAGGGGGGTGCTGGGGGCAGGCAATATCAACATGAAATTACATTTCCAAGTTCAGTCAAGATGAAAAGCCAGGAGAGTCGTCATATACAAATTCAAACACGAGTCACATTACCTCTTTCACAAATTATTTAACTTAACAGTTAGGATTTAACTTGCATTAAGCCCCCAATGACAACCAAGGGCAAGAAAGAAAATGCCAGCACCTGGATCTGAGAGGCATGCAGGTCCATGGTGATGATGTGATCTGCGCCAGCGACCGAGAGCATATTGGCCACAAGTTTCGCAGAAATTGGAGCACGACTCTAAAACATAAAGACATGGATTTTATAAGAGGGAAAAGGGAAGAGATGGATACCTTCAGGTTCTTCCCACTAAGGTTTACATGAGAAAGATAAATCACAGCTGATTTACAACATGTTCATAAAGAAAATTAACAATAATTGTAAAGTATTAAATTATTTAATAATAATGAAGAAAGTTACATGTTATAACAACAAAAAGTATCCATTCCATTTTATTCACCAAATATTTACCATTTACATATACTATTGCAAAATAATGTGCTTGACACTGGGTGTAGAGGACAAATGTTAAAGAAGCCAATAATTAACCTGTTGACGTGTAACAGCACTATTTGAGTAATTCACATCGTGACAAGTGTGTGGAATAGATACCGAGAGAGGCAACAGCACGGAGGACATCAAGTTGAAACAGGCTGGTTGTCAGAGGCCCTCCGAGGAAGCGGCTCTAAGACGGGCAGAGGCAGGGAGACCAGCGTTCCAGAAAGAGCAGCATGTGTGACATCACCGGGCTGAGATATCACATCCAGGAACTGAACTAGGTCCAGTGTGGTCACAGGCAGTGGCCCAGGGGAGAGTGTAAACGCTGCACAGGGAGGTAGGGCTACCTCCTGCACAGCCTCGAAGGCCAAGGCCAGCTCTCAAAGAAGAGTTTATGTTCTGCAGCTGGGAGCTAATGTTTAATGTTACAAATTAAACAGAAAACAGGTTGAAGAAAGAACACCTTAAGGTGACTGATAACATTTAGAGAAGCAGATGCATTGTTGTTTACTGACTGTGTGTCCTCCTTAAAGTGAGCTAACTTCTCTAGAGCTTCAGCTTCCACATCATTAACTATGGATAGTAACTCTGCCCACATTAAAAAAAAAAATCCAAGAGATTATACAGACATGATTAGACCCTAGGAAAAAAGTTCAGTATTTTGCTGTAAACAATAGTATTCCAATATACCAGCCACAAAAAAGAAAATATAAGCTTAAAAGATTTCATTCAAACTTAGACAATATTATATGTCATTTATCTCTCAATAAAGCTGAAAAAGACTTCATTCACAAGAGTAAAAAAAAAATCAATGATCCCTGTTAAATACACATACACATATACATATTCATGTAAAACACAAAGGAATTACATCACAATGTCAACAGATAATTTGTATTTTCTCTAATACACTATTATTGTTTTTTAAAAAGAAACATTACTTTAAAACAATATAAATATATATGCAAATATACACACACACAAATTTTTTTCAACAAAGAATTAGAAGAACTACCCCATAATTTTAATAGATTTTTCTAGATAGTGAGATAATGGGAAAATCTTTTTCTCATTTCTTTAAAATTTTCAATCTTCTCAACTAACTATATATTATCACTCATGTTTTCACTGTTTACTCCCCTGTTCTGTTCCACATTACCTTCGGGTTAAGAAGCCCGCCGGTCAGCCTGGCTCTAGCTACCGAGAGCTGGTCCTCGCACACACGTCCCTCTGCCACATGGGTCCTCCTGCACTCTGTCCTGGGCCTCTCTCTCTTCTGGAGGACACCTCAGTGCTGTCTACACCCATACACCCACCACACCTCCATTCCACTCCATCTCCACTGAGCCAATGTGTCTGACCCTCCAGATCTGGTTCAAATCTCCAAACTTTAAGGCACTCTGAGAACTCCAGAACTAAATGATCTGTCCCTTCTAAAGGGACATGGCACTGGCTGAGCATCTGGCCCCCACTATTTGGGACCACCTGCTGAAAGACTGACATGAGAAGATATTATATGTACGGATGTCAGGGTTCACAACCAGACCATGCAGTCCTCAAAGACAAAGAATTGGTTTTGGAGATTTTCATATCACACACCTTGCATACGAAATTTATGTTTGATAAATATTTCACAGTAGAATCTCTATAACACCAAGTATCCAAGATTTCATCATTAGCCTCACATACTGTGAAAATTATTTAGCTTAACAAAATCCCAGGACAATTAAAATAGTAAACTGATCACTGGGACTTCATTGTAATAGAATCTGACTTGCAACACTAGTTGATTTGGGGCTCTTCCTATAATTTTATAACCGGCAAAAATATTCTTCTGTTCATCTCTCTCAGTGGCATCGAGCATTTGTTACTTTTCAGATCCAAACCACAGGACCTCATTTACAAATTTGGGTTTTGCACTGCATTTCATAATTTGGCTCAATAACCAACTGAATCTTGCAGGAAAAATGATTTACAAGTTAACTGTCTTTACAGCCAATAAAAAGGAAAATTAGTATGACATTTCAACAAAGGTAGAGTCAAAATCCAGTCATCAAAAATAAAACGTTCGCCTATCCTAATAAAAAAACACATCCAAGATTCTCTGGCTATTTCAGATCTTATTCAATGTAGCAGATGCCAACCTGCTAAAAGTATAAATTTGACAACCTTGAAAAATGGACAAGTTTGTAGAAATTCATGTCAGGACAACAGTCCTCATTTTTTCAGTTAAGGAATAAAAAGAAACAGTTTCATAATTGAAAAGAGAACGGAACCTTGGAAATAGTTTTGAAAAAAGCTACAAGTCTTCTATCACCTGCAAAGTAATTATCTGCAGCCTTGCCCGCGTCAGGCCGCGTTTGCTGGGAAAGGAAGCTAACAATTACCGAGTGTTCCCTAGAGCAGGCGCCAGCGAACCAAGGCCCCGTGACCTGGTTTTGTACAACCTGTGAGCTGAGGATGGATTTTACATTTTTAAGTGGTTGAAAAACAAGCAAACAAAGAACAATAGATGGTGACATTTGAAAAGTATACGCAATTCATATTTCTATGACCAGAAAATTATACTGGGACATGGCCACACTCCTTCAGCGCCATATGATATACGGCTGCTTCCATGGGAAAACAGTGGAGTTGAGCCGCTTGTGGTCCACAAAGCCTAAAAAATTTGATACCGGTTCTTTTTTTAAATCCTCACCCAAGGATATTTTTTCCATTGATTTTTTTAGAGAGAGTAGAAGGGAGGGAGGAAGGGGAGAGAGAGAGAAACATGGATATGAGAGAGACACATCGATTGGTTTCCTCCCAAATGCGCCCGGCCGGGGTGGGGGACTGAGCCTGCAACCGAAGCACATGCCCTTGATCGAAATCAAAGCCAGGACCCTTTGGTGGGCAGGCTGACGCTCTAACCACTGAGCCAAACCGGCCAGGGCAACACCTGGTTCTTTTTGGAAAATGTCTGCTAAGCACTTTATACATAGTAGCAAATATTATCCTGAATTTACGGATTAGGAAACTAAGGGCACAAAGAGTTCCAGTTACCCTTACGAAGGACAAACTGAGTGACTAATGGCACTGAAATTCAAACCCAAGTCCACCCAATTCTGAAGTTGGAACCCCAGAGCTGAGACCACTCCTTCTACAATTAATACTGTATCATCATCATTTCCCATGATGGTGTTACATTGTGCTAAAGTGCCAAATTCATGAAACCCTTCCTTCACTGTCAGAACTTGGCCCTGGTTTCTTGCACACATAAATAAAACCAAAAATCAAACTTTGCAGGTATGCAGGGCTTGCTCAAAAAGAACCAGTGAGGTTGAAAAATGACAAACAAGCTTTGAATATGGTTAAAATGCTCTAGCTTTTTCTGGGCTCCTTTGCAGGTACCTCAATGTAGATCAATTACTTGGAACTTCTTTGGCTTAGATGTCACAGGCAACACAGTTCTCTGGGAGGGAAAAGACAAGAGGAGGGCTACCCAGCGGGAGAATTTTCTTTCTGAGCCCAGAGAGCAAGTGTGGCCCATGCTTTCCCATCGCCCTCAAACACCACATGACATTTAGCCTACCTAAGTGAAGCCAAAAAAGGGAAGAAGTGTTTCCCCCATCACTCAGGGTTTCCTCATCGCTCGCCCTTATAGGTAAAGTCTGCTCAGAGGCTCAGGTTATTTCTCTCAAGCCCTTGTTACCTCTACTTTGATGCAGTTTCCCAATACAAAGCCAATCCATTTGATCTGAGAAATGATTAGAAAAATTATTCATAGCTATTACCAGCAATATTAAAAACACAAAAGTATACCTCAAATGACAGACAAAATTAAGAATTGCCCTTTCCTTTTGTTTGCTGAGAGGCTTTTTTTTTTTTTATTACTGCTTCAATTTCATCAGTTCTTATTGGCCTATTCAGGTTTTCTGATTCTTCCTGATTTAGTTTTATATAATCTCACTCATATGTGGAATCTAATAAACAAAATAGACTGAGGAACAAAATAGATCCAGAGACATAGAAGCATGGAACAGACTGA